ATTTTTTGTTTTTTTCATTGTGTGGGATAATACAATGAATTATTATTTAACTATTTTTCCATTTGACAATAAACTATTCAGTATTAGTAAAAACAAATATAAATAAACTATTCTTTTTATTTATTAAAACATAACATAATTTCAGAGGTTTTCTCTCTCTGATGACAAAAAAGAGTTTTGTCGTGGGGATGGCGCATCAACTGGTGTCCAGCCATTCTCAGTCATCACTAACAACCCTCTTTTTCTATTTATTCTCTTCGTTGGGGTTGTTGTTATGGGGTGTGAATTGTCGTCGAGTTTCACCACTTCCTCTTGGCTCGATCTCTTTCCGTCAGTCAAATCACGTTTGATTTGAAATACAACACTTTTCTAGTTAATACTCATATAAAAAATTGCTTAAATGACTTTGTTTTATTGAAAAAGTGTACCATACAGTATATTAAAATGTACTATTTTTGGTGTCTATTTCCAACAAAATATCGTAAAAATTTCGAATAAATGTTTGAGTAATTAACTATAATTAATAACAAATTGTATCATAAATATATAGTTTGTGATTATAAAGTCTATAGAATAAAAGGTATTACAATAAATAATACTTTTGAATTATAAATATAGTAAAAAGATCAAAAATATTGAAGAGATATTGTGTTGGAATGAACGAACATATAAGCCTCGAAATAATAAGAAAATATAACAAACCGCAGACATCGAGCTTGGTGAAAGACCAACAGTTGGGGTCTGTGGAGTCGAAGCGACCACGCGGGGGACTTTCTTGCGTGACAAAAAGTCTCTTCCTGGTGTAGAGCAGCCGAGCACTCTCACGGACTTTTCCCATGTTTGGTGTTCTATTGGTGACACTGAACTTGCAAGCGGGCTTGCGAATACAACACCGGGTAATTGTCCACCGCTGTTTGTACTGTTCAAACTGACTCTGCACGCCGACTGACTACTTTTCAAAAGATCCAAACGCATTTCGCTTTGGACCTTTGTCAGTTTGGCTTCAACTCGCTTTTTCTCTTTGAGTTTCTCTTTGTTGTTCAACAAAGACTTGAACGAAGGTTCGAAACATTCATTTTCAGCTTGTTTGAACGAACAAATGATCGGCTTGTTTTTCTCGCGGGTTGTTAGTTGCTTTGCTTCGGTCATATCGTCGTGTATTTCCTTGATTGCTTGGTAGTCTGGGAATTTTGTTGGAAAAAGTGTCTGTGTAGGGTCTTCGTACTTCTCAAGAGTGGAAGGGACAAATTCGATCTCGTCGCATTTCTCAATTAAATAGGAAACAACATCTTCAACATTGTCGTCGCTAAACACTCGATAGAACTCGCCAAAGTACTTTTTGAACCCCCGTTTCGAGGAACTCTCCCAAAAGGCGCTGAATAAGTGAATTAACGCAGACAATAAAGAACTCGAGAACCCAACATCTTGCATCAACGTGTTGATTTTTCGTAACGTCTCGGTGTTGTTTTCTTCAATGACTTTGCGCATCGCATCCAACACACCCTTGGGGATCAAAGAGTCTGGTAACAGTGCCATGAAATAAAGCAACACACCAATCCGCGAATTGACAGACAAATCCTGAAAATCATTCAGTGCCAACCCGTCGCGTTCCCACGCCACTTTGCTAAATCCAACATCAATGTTATCAAAGTTATTTTCGTTCTTATATGTATCATCCGATGCAATTGAATTAATCAAGTCCTCGTACAACTCCGGAACTCTTCGTTGAGTGTTCTGAATGACTTTTTTCAGTGAAAGTCCGCCGATTCGGGTTGTCCCGTTGCTTGCAGTTTTATCGATTCTGTTCAACAAATCAAGAACAGACTGTTTACTCCCTTTCAAGTATATTTTGTCTGTCAATGGGCACTGTACGAATTTTTCAAGTGCAGTTAATTCAAGTAGAATTGTCGAACTTTTGTAGAGCGGTGTCATTTTGAAATTGATGTAATTGAGTGGGTAAGCTCTTGCGAGGGTGTCCGCCATATAAACATATAAAAATGAACCGGCAAGAATAACAGTTGCTGAAGACGACGCTTTATTAAGTGTTACTCCCGTCAGCAACTCTTCGACCCACTCCTCTTTAATAACTGACATTAATGTGAGAAAATGGTTCTTTTCCGTTTCGAAAAGGACTTCATCGGCGGAGAATCCAAACGACTTTGAAGGTAACACATCGAAGGGATAAGCCACAAAACTGTCTTTATTTGTCATCCCAACCTCGGTAGGACTTTTGTCGCTATTGATGACAAACGAAGATTTGTCTTCTTTCAATACAATCACAAAGAAGGGGACTTTATTCGCCAGAACCTCGTTAAATATACACATCTGGCTTCTCACCGATCTCGACGCGTCGATCAGTATTTTTGTGTTAAACCATCCCGTTGCTGTTTTCTGCACAAATTGATATTCAACGGGGTGGTAATAAATCGTAAAGAACTTTGCAGGACATAACATCGAGATGGGAGTTTTAATGCCAAATCCAACAAATGAATTTGTGTTGATTGCAATGAAGGATACGAACCCCGCGATAGTAGGAAACAGCGCGTTGACAAATGTTTCCACGTCCATAGTGTCTGTCTTATACTTCCTCGTTTTACACTCGTCTGGTCTTAGAAATTCGAAATTTCCTTCAGTGTTTTCCGTGACGACGCGCTTCACCGTCGGTTCGATTTTCTTCGACCGCAAAAACTCGACCTCGTCGATTTCTTTTGCGTTCTCCTCGGTGTTTTCCACGGCCAAAATGGTGATCAGAAATTTCTTAATTTCGTTGGAGATGTTCAAATCGTAATAAGGGACTTGTTGGAGGTGATATATCTTCTGTGCGATATTACGCAACATATTGCACTTCGAGTAATTAATTAACATCTCGTTGCCCTTCCCGAAGGTCGATTTGTTACCTTCGTTAATGAAAGTAGTATCAGACAAGAATGTACCAAGATATGGAAGTGCGTGCATGACGTTCTCGTCTTGTTCTGTGCTTTTTCTGAGTTCCGCCCAGTTGTTAGCGGGGCTAGTAAGTTTTTGAAGGCGTTCGATGAAAGCTTTTGCGTTGGTTGAAAGTGCCTCAAACGTCTTTTTAAGTCTGTGGATAGCACTCTTCCCAAAGACAAAAGAGATGACGACGAGGAGATCGAAGTTGTGAAGGTACTCTGCTTCATTTCCGATAGCGCAAATGAATTCGAGTTTAATGACCCGTTTGATCAAGTCTTCTTCGTCGAGTAAATAAGATGTGAAGATTTGAACGATTTTATTAGAAAGATGAGTGATAGCCAGAATTGATTTACAGTGCGTTTCTTTATTCTGTTGATTCCATCGTAACAATTCATTCACTTTGACTTTCGAGAACATTTCAAATCCAATCACCGTCAACGTTTTTGCTATTTCTTTTGGGTCAAATAATTCAAGGCGAATGATTTGATCAGTGTAGAGAGATGGAGGGACTACAACACGTTGTGTGAAGCGTTCAACATTTCTGGTATACTCTTTCTCCATTCCTTCTAATCGCCGATTTAAAGCTTGTGCCAGTGTACTCTTTGCGTTATTCATTCCATAACAATTGAGCTTGTGGAGAAAGACTTTAAAGTGCTTTAAAAAAGCTTCGTCGAAGAGACAAGACTCAACCCAGTACTTTAAAGACCCGACCATTCGTGAGCGCGCGATTTGACAGTCGACAGAGTCGGAGATACAAGACACTTCAAAGCAATCGATGACGCATTTCAATAATTGTGTGTTATTAGAAAACAAGTCGTTGGTCCAAATAAGGGTTTGCATGACTTCATTATTCTTGTGGATTGCACCGACGTTCACTATTCCTCTGATCTTCCCTTTAATAATCTTCCCATTTTCATATAAGACGTCACTCATATCAAAGAGGCGTTTTGCACGTGTTGGGGAGACGGGGACGGGATAAGTCCGCATCACCGCTATTTCAGTGTCGGTGAAAAACATTTCAAGGGGAATGTTATTCTCTGAGGCACTCCCCGTACTCTCATTGTCTTCTCCACTCTCTTGACTTTTTAATTGCGTCGCATAGAACGTGAGGCGTTGCGAGAGTTCACTGTCAAATTGCTCGGTTATACCAAGAGCAGCACTTTTCGCCCCATCGTCAGTCAACTCCTCGAAAACATCAAGTTTCTTCCAAAGCTCCATAACTGAAGTTTTCGATGGCAATTTGTGGTTTGTAAGAAGTTTGGAACACCACATCACTTCACGAGTTAAATTAATTTGAAACCGTTGTGTCAGTAATAGGGTGTTCACTCCACTCTTGCGAACTTTAATGTAATTCGAAAGAGTAAAGTAGTCACACGGTGTTGCTTTCGACATCAATTTTACAGTTCAAATCAGCCTTTTTGGTCTTAACTATTAGAAAGAAAGACGCCATTTGTTTGATTTTATATTTTACACATTTCATTTCTAATTATAATATTGGTTTGATTAAGATATTTTCTTTGAACAAATGGTCCAATGAAATTCAATAAATTCTTCTCTTCCTGAAATTTACAATGAAAACAGTGAGGTTTTTTTTTAAAGAAAAAAAGTGTAAAAATACAGCAGAATCGTTTAAGATTTTCACTTTGAAATTAATTGAATCTCCGAATTGTATTTGCTCTTTTTTAATAGAATACTTGGGGTAGTTTCGATACTTTTTTCAATTGACTAGAACAATTTGGAGTGGAAAAAAATTGTAAGTGTTCTATTTGTGGGTGGACTTTTTCGTTTTTGTTTACTTTCATAGTTTTACTATGGTAAATTATAATTTGATTATAAGTTTTGCAAGAATTCATTTTGGAATTAACATCGAACTTTTTCTTGGAAACTAAAGTTTTGAAAAACTATACTTTTATTGTATATTTATTATACCATTTGTCAACTAAAAACAACCCCTTTGAAAAGGCAAATTGTCATCAGATTTTTTATCGGAAAGAAAATAAATTATTTATAATATATTTAAATAAAAAACAACTATTTAAAATGAAAAAAAAACAACAAAAAAATCCGATATAATATAAACAAAAGTTATTTTGCTGAAAAGAAACACAATAAACACATAATATTTGGGCCGAAAAACTATTGTAAGGGGTCTC